GGTAACACTCTCATTCTTCAGCTGGGGGGAAAACTGTGACTGGAGAAGTGATTTCCTCTCTAGTGCCTGGCCTTTGACTCGTGTTTATGACAGAGTGCTCTGCTTCTCCCAGGCTAATGTCAATCAGAGATGGATGGGGACTTAGATACATCTACCTTTCCATAAGGCCAGAACACCTGTAGAATCATCCCCTGGTACCCAAAAGGGACTGCTTCCGGGACCTCTCAGGACACCATAATCTGAGTGTGTCCAAGTCCCTTACATAAAATGGTGTAGTATTTGCATAGAACCTACACAGATCTTCCTGTACACATTAATGTCTGGATTATAATACCTAATATGATGGAAATGCTCTGAGAATAGTGTGTTACTACAATGAAAAGGAGGATAGATTGTATGTTTAGGACACAGTTTTTTTCAAAGATTTTTGATCTATAGTTGGTTGAATCCCTAGATATAAAACCTACAGATATGAAGGTCTAGTTTAAAAGGAAAAATTTTTGAGATTCACATTAGTTTTATAAAAAATTATACACACACACACACATACACATATTTCTTTAACCAGATTTAGGTTCATAGTAAAATGGAGCAGAAAGTATGAAACCCCTGTCTCCCAAAAAACCCTTCCCACCATCAACCCAATCAGTATGATACCATTTATTATAACTGCTAAACACACATGGATTCATCATTGTCACCCACAGGTTATATTAGGGTTCATTTCTGCTATTGTATATTGCAATAGTTCTGTTTTTCATTATTAAAAATGCCTGGCACAGGCTAACTTTATAAAGGAAAGGAGTTCATTTAGCTCAGTTCTGCAGATTCAAAGTCCAAGTTTGGGCAGCACTATTTTTGGGGCCCCTAGTCAGGGCTTAAAGGTGGATGATGTCATATCCTAATAGGGGCATGTGTGGGAGCAAAGATCATATCCCTGCAAAAGACAGAAAAGTCATAGCTCAAAACAGGAAGGAAGAGGGAGTTAGATAGAGCCAGGCTTAGACTTATTTATAGCAATCTTCTCCCATGAACTACTAAGAGGTTGCACAAGAACTAGCTTAATTCCTTTCGAGGGCTTGTCCTCAATTGACCAAAGAACCCCCACTAGGTCTCATGTCCTAAAAAGTCTATTTCCCGATATCATCACAGTGAAGGCCCAGCCTCCAACACATGGAACTTTAAGAGGAAAAACAGCACTGAAACCATTGCGCACATTCTGGGGTAGTTACCAAATATAGAAAAGACACGCTGGTCCCATCACACAGAGTGCCTTTGTTGGCCTCCGAGTTCTTCTTATTCATCCCTCATTTCACCTTGACATCTGGCAGCTAATGACCTTTTAATTGGCTCCATAGTTTTGTCTTTTCCAGAATGTCATGTAAGTGGCATCATACAATATGTGCCCTTTTCATATTGGCTTCTTTCACTGACTAATATGTGTTTAAATTTCCTCTATGGGTTTCTATGGCTTGACAGCTCATTCCTTTTCAGTGTTGAGTAATATTTCTTTGATGTTCCACAGTTTATCCATTCATCTACTGAAAGACATCTTGGCTGCTTCCAAGTTTTGGCAATTCTCGATTGAGCTGTTATTAACCTCCAGGTTTTTATGTGATATAAATAAGTTTTCACATCTTTGAAAAGTGGGGTGGGTGGGGAATCCACTTTCTACTCCCCCTTCTGTGTCTCTTAGAAGCTTTCTCTCAATAAATTTTTCCTACTCTTTAAAAAATAAATAAGTTTTCAAATCTTTTGGGTAAATGTCAAAGAATGCAACCTCTAAATCATAGGGAAAGAGTATGTTTAATGTTATGTTTGTGTCTAGATGGCCCCAAAAGCCTCATGCAGTCATAGAACTTCTTCAGAGGTGGCTGAATCTAGAGTGTGTGATGCTGGGATTAAGAGCATGTTTATACTGAGCTGGTATACTGATTGGTTTGGCACACCATAATTCCAGTACTCTGGATAAGATAAAAGGGGCAGAAAGACGATGTCAAGGTTCCTTGTTGCTGTTGCTACTTTGTATGCCCCACGTTGCTTCTCTTCTGTGATGCCTGTTTGCCATCCACTCTGCCATGGAACCAGCCGATTTTGGACTGAACCCTCTACAAACTGTGAGCTAAATAAATCTTCCCCTCTTCAACTTTGGGTGCCAGGTATTTTGTCTCAGCAATGAGAGAAAAGTAATTAAGACATTTAATTTTGTAGAAAACTGCTGAAGTGTCACCTGTATCATTACACATTCCCACTAGTAATGTTGAGAATTTCTGTTGCCATACTAGCTCAATAACATGTGATGCTATCTGTTTTAAATTTTAGCCATTCTCATCATTTATATTAACCATTTTGAAAATCTTAACAATCTAGATAAGAAACTATGGGATTTGAGAGTTGAACAAAAGATTGGGGCTCTAGTCTATGTATCTATCCTTCCCACCTCTACTATCCAAAACATATTTCATGGATTAAAAACATATAGGTGGAAATAAATGAGCAGTAGAAGGTCAAAGGTCAGAGCTCCTAATTGGCATCCAATTTTTATTCAAAAAAATTATTTTCTCATTTGGAAATTAAAACTGGTGATGAGACAGTTGTAGAGGGAATGATTACATTCTCTCCAGAGGCCTTAGTACATTTTCTACATTAACAGTGAGTTAACATGTTCTCCAATGAAGGCAGTAGAACTGTCCTCCTACAGAATCCAGAACTTTGGATGTAGGGCTTGGGTTTTTAGCTGCATTCAAGGAATTTATATCAAAAGTATCAGATACTTTCTTTTATGGTAGTGGAGATAGAATCTAGGACCTTCACACTGATATCCCTATATTGAGTATGACCAAAGCAGGCTGTACACTGTGCAGGCAGTAAAGAGTTAACTCTGCAATTAGCCTGCTTACAGAAGTACATCTGACTGAAGCCTCCATGCAGAGGTCAGAGTGACTGTTACCCAAATTCTGTTCTCAGAGCTAAGACCTTCTTTACCCAAAACACAAGGTTGATTATTAACCACAACTTACATTTTGTCTGTTCTATTCCTAATACAAGAATGTCGTGTTTCTTCTTTTACAAGCCTTGCCTGCATCAGCAACATATCCATATCAATTCCACATAGTCCCTCCAAATAGTGCCTTTACCTCAGCCTGACTATGATGTCACCAGTACATATGGACAGCTCTGGGAGTTCAGGGCCTTTGTTTGTTCAGCCTTGCTTGCCCAAGCATTGGTCATCCTGGCTCTTCAGATCTCTGTCGCTTTAACTTTGCCTCTAAGTCTTCCTTCTCACCATGCATTATAACACTGAGCAAGAGATAGGAACAAGCTGTGGGACTCTCTGCTATAGCTCAACCCCTTTTTTTATTTCTTTCATTGGAGTCAGGATCTCACTGAACTGCTAAGTGGCCCAGGCTGGGTTTGAATTTGCAATCTTCCTGCCTCAGCCTCCTGGAATGCAGGGATTACAGGTGCGGATCACCAGATCTGGCTGATACATCTAGTTTTTAGATGCAATCACTCTAATTAGTTCTCCCTTCTGGAAGGATTGCTTTTTCCGAGGAATCTAATCTTCACTCTTAGAGGTGTTTCTGAACCTGTGGGTTGCCCAAGGCTTTCATGAGTTTACCAGACATGTTCACCATTCCTTGATATTGACAATGGGAAGAGTCTTTGGTAGGGACCATAAGAGTGAAAATAATCTTGAAGAATGATATTTTTATCTCTTCAAAATGGAAGCTTGGGAATTTTATCTTCCACAACAAGACCATCCTGGAACTGCCATTCCTCACCAGTACATAAATTACACACATCTAGTCAAGCATGAATCACACCCCGTAAAGAGTCCATGGCTTTGCAGTTTCTATCCTCTATCTACCATTCCCTATATTCTGCTTTAATAGGCTTTATGGAGGTGGAGATTCTACAGTGTAGCCAACTGGAACATGCAGATTGAACAAGACTTGTTTGTACTGACACTCATGAGCACTGCCATTTCGATGGGAACCTGCTGTTGCTGATCCCAGGAACACCTTTGCTGTCTTAGCCCTCCTAATTCCTATTTGTCCTCTGAGCTTGGCTTGTGTCCCCTTGGAGATCTGTATGTACTACATCCCTCATGGAATGAGACGAAGGTATAAATAAAGTTACTGGGAAAGCCAATGGGGTCTTTGTCATCATTTTTGTAAATACCTTCCCCATCATCTCCAGCCCCAGTACAGGGGATTCAGTCCATGGCCTCGTACTTGCTAGGCAAGTTCTCTACCATGGAGCTGCATCTCCATCACTTAAAAAATTGATGCTGTTGTTGTTGTTGTTCTTTTATTTTAAGACAGGGTCTCTCTAAATTGGCTAGGCTGCCCTCAAAACTGATCCTCTCTGGGCCAGGGATTTAGCTCAGTGGTTTCTCCACCTGCTGCACAAGGACAAGGACTCGAGTTCAATCCCTGGTACCAAAAAAAAAAATTGATCCCCCCAACTGCTTCCTGAGGAGCTGGTATTACAGCAGGAGCCATCATTCTTGGACCTTAGCTCAGGCCCTGGCACTCAAAAGGCTCTCCAAAGTTTGGGAGACAGCACAGTATATTCATTTAAAAGCAAAAGTTCTGGAATCAGATGAATTTCCACATTCAAATTTTAAATTAGTTAACTGACCTTATCCTGTTTGTTAATCTGAAATTCTATTTCCTCACATGTTAAACAGGAATAAAAGATCAGCCTGAGAGGGTGATCTTTATGGATCTTTATGATCTTTAAATACTTTATGGAAAGGGCATAGCGCCTAACACACAGCTGGTACTAATGATAAGTGGATATTACTTATGGGCACAAGTGGAATGAGAATGGGAGAGGCACATGTTCCCCAGGCTGTCATCACCCCATTACCTGCAGGAGATAAGGAATGGGGGGGAATCTTACCAGATTTAGCAGCAAGGCATGCATCGAGGTTTGGTGTGCACAATTTAGTTTCAATGCATTTAGGTGTTGTGTTAGGGCACTGGTAGCACGTCAGGCTGAAACCTAGAATCGGGAATAAAGCATGATAAAGCAGCACTAATTGACCCCTTGCCAGTAGAACAGAGCTCTCCTGCTGCAGTAGTATAGGATGGGGTTAGCTCTTTCCCCGACCCTCTTGACTGCCTGAAGATCACCCACTCCTATGAAGAACACAGTAAGTATACCAACCAACATGGTGGCGCACACCTGTAATCTCAGCCCTCTGGTGTTGGAGGAGGGAGGACTGCCGTGATCTCAAGACCAACACGGGGTACAAAGTCAGTTCAAGACCAGCCTGAACTACATAAAGAAGCCCTGTCTCAAAAAACTAAACCACACCAAAATAAAAGCAAAAGCTATTCAAACCAGGAAGTTCTTGAGCACCTGATTACCTAAAAGGATACAAATGGTCATTGATGTCCTTTACCCTGGGAACGCAACAGTACCTAAGGCAGAAATTTGGGGAAAACTACGCAGAACATTCAAGACCACACCGGAGGTCATCTTTGTATTTGGATTCAGAACCCATTTTGATGGTGGCAAGACAAGTGGCTTTAGCATGGTTTATGATTCCTTGGATTACACAAAGAAAAATGAACATAAACCTAGGCTTGCCAGACATGGTCTCACTGAGAAGACAAAGACCACGGAGAAATTAGTGAGGGGAGCACAAGAACAGAAAAAGAAAGTCAGAGGCACTGCAGAGGCAATTTTGGTGCTGCAAAAGGCTGGATTAATATTCGGTGGTGGTTTTATCTGCGCATTGAGTGGATTTTTCACAGTAGGATTAATAACCTGTAAAAACTTTTTTAATTGGAGGCAAGTCAGAGATTCATGTTGCGTTTCTACTCCCTCCCAGATGTACAGTACTTATACATTTCCAAGCTCCACCCACAGTTCCAGTAATGTCTTTGGGGCCCTGGAGCAAGTGCAAAGGGAATATCTTCATTCCTAAATCCATTTAACTGCAGCTGAGAAGCTTTTCCCATCCTTCACCTGGCAGATGACTCGTGTGCAATGAAATGACTTATGAAGCAGAAAACATTGAGAGCACAGAGTCCCGCAAGTGTCTTCCAGGCAAAAATAAGCTCAGTGAGATCACACTCCGATGGATTGATAATTCCCTATTTGTGTGAAACGACCTTTTCAAAGATAAGATATGTAAAATCATTTTGCCAATCAATATTCACAGATAAACATTTGCAACCCATTTGGTGATAGGAACGTTAATTTTTAATCCAAATGAAGCAAAATGTTATCCTCCCGAGAAAAAAGGTATTACCCCCATTAGCAAATGTATATTATATATTTATAGTTAATTATTACATTGTGAACTTTGACAGTCAGAATTTGGTGGAAGCCAGGTGTTGTGGTGCACACCTGTAATTCTAGCTACTTGGGATTCTGAGGAAGGAGGATCTCAGATTACAGGGCAGCCTGGGAGACTTAGTAAGACTCCGTCTCAAAATAATAAAAGTGAAAAGGGCTGGGGCCGGGGCGAAAGCTCAGTGGTACAGTGCTTGCCTAGCAGGGCCCTGGGTCAAATTCCCAGTACTGCAAGAGAAAAAAAAAAGTGGAAATTTGTTTCTCTCTTGTTATTTACATAAGAACTTACATAATATCCTTGACTTTGTCTCCTGGCCTGCAAAGCCTAAAATACTCACTGTCTAGCCCTTTATTTGAAAAGTTTGATGACCTCTGGGATATGGAGTCCTCACCAAACTTTTCCCTGCTAAGAGACTGACCCAGGGCCGGCAGTGTACACAGTCGAGGGCAAGAAAGCAGCTGAGCTCTAAGCCCTTGTGGGTGGGACAGCTCAGTCACAGCAGAGTCACTGGACACGAGGAACAGTTTACACCAGAGGCAAACTGCCCTCAGTTGTCTCATTTGAGAACCAACTAGTGCTCCCACTCATGTTCCTAAGATTCATATTTCCTAGCTAAACTTCAGGTTTTCCTAGATTCTTTTTCCTTTTTTTTTTTCTTTTTGTGATACTGGGGACTGAACCCAGGGCCTTTGAACTGAGCTATATCCCCAGCACTTAGTAACCCTTGTTTAATGTTCTAAGACAGGGTTTGCTAAGTTGCTAAGTTGCACAGGTGAGGATTGAACTTGCAACTTCCTGAGTCACCTTCCAGGAGTACTGGGATCACAGGTGGCCACCACCACACCCAGTTTCCTTCACCATTTTTTACAAGGATGATAACAAGAAAAAGATGAGTCATGGTCAACATTTGTGATGTGGACAGGCAGAGGTGCCAAGATTCAGAAGAAAATCTTCCTGATTCATGTGGCCATGCCTTTCTCAGAGAGAAATGACCTTCCCAACACATGGCTTCCACCATGATGGAATATCTGGCAGCACCTGCAGGTACAAAGACATTTCAAAGAAGCAGCATGTAGAATCTCATAGACGAATGTCATGGTTAAACCAAGTGTGGGTTTTAGACTTCAAGAGCTGACTTCTAGCTGTGAGGCTGAAGCCTCAGTTTATCACCAGGGGATATGGAGATGTTTCCAGAGGTCCAGGGCAGAGCCGGTCCTCACTACCTGAGCACAGTCAGGAGCCAGGCTCTGTATAGGCTTAATGGCCAAACTTGGCTTTCCAGGTGTGAAATCCCAATCACACCGGACCTCTTGATTTGGGAAGCTTCCAGGTTAACCCCTTGAAATATCACTCAAAAAACCTCTTTTCTCCCCCAAGAAGACAGGTGTCTCGAGAGGGGAAATGACTTACCCAAGGCCACCAGCTACAAAGTGACAGCTCCGGAGCCTGTGGGCAGGGCTCTGTCACACTGCTCTGCTTGTTCTCCCCCAGTGTCACTGTTTGTCACACCTGGGCAAGAGGGGACCCACAGGGAAGATGCATGAAGATGCCAGTTCTCTTCAGTCCCTTCCTTGTGCCGGATGTGTGTCACAGGCAGGAGAAGAAAAGAATGGAAGAGGGAGGGTGTCGGGCAAGCCTGGGTATTTGAGGGCTACCTTCAAAAGATCACCCATAGAAGGGACTTTACTAGGCAAAGCCAGAGCTCACTTGGCCTCTTGACCATCTCTGGAGGGATCAAGGGCCTTGTCTGAAACTTCTTTGGGGCAGAAATACTGAGGGCTAGCACATTCATCTAATGCTCAAACATCTAAGCACTCTATGCTAAGCTCTTCATAGAACTGTTAGAAGAGACAGGCTCAAGTAGCTTCATCCCCAGTTTGCAAGAGAAAACTAAGACTAAGATATTAACGAGCTTGTCCAAAGTCACACAGCTACCAAATGACGGCATGAGACTGGAACCCAGGCCATCAGTTCTAAAGCCCAAGCTGGAATAAATGTGCAATATCACTGGTCATTCAAGAAATCTAAACTGAAACAATGCTGAGATTCCACCTCACTCCAGAAAGAATGGCTATCATCAAGAAATCAATCAACAACAAATGCTGGGGAGGTTGTGGGGGAAATGAAAGCCTTCTCCATTGCTGCTGGGAGTGTAAACTGGTACAACCACTATGGAAATCAGGATAGAGGTTCCTCCAGAAACTAAAACGAGAGGTTCCATTTGACCCTTCTATGCCTGTCTTAGGTATCTTTCTAAAACATTTAAAAATATCATACCACAGTGATATATGCATAGCTATGTTTATAGCTCCACAGTTGATATAAAATGCATGCACCTCGAGACCACACTTTTAAGTAAATCAAACACACATATTTAAATATCGCAGTTTCTCTTGTGTGAGAAACCCAAAGGGTGAACAAGGAGCATAATGGAGGACAGATGTTGGGAAGTAGGAGGAGCTTGTTCAAATGGGAAGGGGAGCAAGGGAGGGGGAGAGAAGGAAGGGAAAGGGGACTTTAAAAAATGAAAATGGAAGGGAAAAATGGAAACAAAGCTTTTGTAAATGGGAAGGGGGAAGAGTTGAAGGGAGGGCAGGGGAATGGGGAAAAGAGAAGAATTCAGATGTGTTATGCACAGGTACAAATTCCCCAGGGTGAATGTGATCATTCTGTATGCAAAATATGTACTAATAAACATACATAAAACTCAAGCTGGGATTAACCAGGCATTCCTCTAACTCTCCTGAGTAGAAGAGAAGGAAACAGGACAGATTTGGGACCGAGGGCACCGAGGTTCAAGACAAGCAATGAGTCAGTGCATGGTTCTGATAGTTTAGCTACTTAGCCAGGGTGGCAGGGAATGGACCCTCTGGAAAACCAGTTTCTGGGCTGTTCTTCCCCCTGCTTCCCACTGGAAGTCATCCTGCGTCTCCACCTCTGCAATGTTGGGAACTCGTCATGCTATTTGATTTGCATCACTGTGAGGATCCAGTGTCATTTTCTGCCAATGGGATGTTTCTGCCTACAACATGTTGGCCTGAAGGTTCCCCAGAGGGCTCCTCAGTGTTTTGGACAGCAACAAAGGCAGTCTCTCATGTGTGTGTGCGCGTGTGTGTGTGTGTTGTGTGAGCAGGTCCATATGTGTGTTGTGAGCTTCAGAGCCCACTTCTCTGAGCGGGGGCTTAAGGGTGCCCCAGACCTGCACCTGATGGCCCCAAACCCCAGCTTGCCCCACAGACAGATGCAGACTGCTGGAGGTGGGCTGTGGCTGCCGCCATGAGAACAAGAAACACCCTGGGGGGAAGAACTGAGAGAGGAGTGGGGTGTGGAGACCAGGCTGGATAACATCACCGCCCACACCTGCTCGGGTTCCCCGTGGACAAGGGAGCAGGGGTGAGGAGGAAGTCGTGACTTCTCTTTTTTGCCAGACAGAGAGAGGATGCAAGTGTGTCCTTGAGCACCTGGACACAATGCACTAATCCTTCATGGGATGGCCAGAGGCTTAAATGAGATAGACTTTGGCAGAGTTCTGACTACATGACAGTAGTGGTATATGGGAGCTACTGAAACACAACACTGGAGGTGCCTTTATTGTTTTTATTTTTTGGTACCGGGGATCGAACTCAGGACCTTGCGCTTTCGAGGCAGGCGGCAGAACCACTGAGCTAAATCCCCGGCCCTTATTTTTCTTTTTTATTGCTCAACTTGTATTGCTACTTCTTTTTCTTCCTCCATCTCAAAAAGAAAGAAAAACTGTTTAATGGTACCAACATGACACAGGCAGAAAATGACGTTTGATCCTTATAAAGGTAGCAAGTAGTAGAGCAAGTAGCATAACTGTTCCTATTTTAATTAAAGATGCATGATCCTAGGATTTAGCTCAGTGGCACCACATCTGCCTTGCAAGCACAAGGTCCTGCATTTGATCCCCAGTACCACAAAAAAAAAAACCCCAAGAAACTGAGGATGAATTAACTAAAGATTCATGACATCATCTCCAGGAAGCATGGAAGGGTGGCAGGAAAGGGCTGGGCCAGGAAAGGGATGGCACTGGGAGGGGTGGCCTGGAGTAGGAGTAAGAAAGGCAGGAACTCTGGGGCCACGCAGGGTTCACAGTCTGGCATAGGCTCCCTTCTGGGTATTATCTCAGAAGTTATTTTATTGCTTTGGGCCTCGAACTTGTTATTTGCAAAAGAGGAATAAAAAGAGTATTCCATTGGGTTGGCATGATGAATAAGTAAATGCATGTAAAAAGCTCAGACTGCTGATTGCCATGGAAGTGCTATAAGCTTTAGCTGAGACGGCGACAGCTATTACTATGATCCCCACCACTGTGGCCCAGAAGCCACTCAGAAGAAGGACTGAGCTCTGAAGTCCCCAAAGTGACCTGGGCGGCATTCTAAGAGTGGCATCTGCCAAAATGCCTAAATATCTTGTAGCAACAGTGGTGAAACCAAAGCTTCCCTGTCACCCTAGCCCTGCAAAAAGCAGCCCTGAAAATGGGGACAGCTGTAACTCAGGAAGGCACCTGCTGAGAGCCAGGCCATAAAAGGAAGTTGTCACACAATCCTGGAGGACCAGCAGTACTAGAAGCAAAAGAACCAAAGCCAGGTCTGGAGCAAGGACTGGGGCAGAAACTGGGGCCACTGGCTGTAGCAGACTGTGGCAGTGGGTGTCCAGTGCTAGTGGGCTATGAGTGGCACATGGTTCTTGCCTCCCTTAATTCAGCTATATTGTTCTATATCAGGAGTCAGAGCAAACCCTTATGTGACTCAAATGGGCATGTCTGGTAGTAGAGCTGGGCTAGTATTGCTCCTTTGCTAATGGCTGTTACTGAGGCCTGGGTCCTGGTCTGTGAAGCAAGGCTCTGCTGAGTTTTAAGCAGCTGAGGTGAGTGTGTCCCCAATTAAAATCCTTTCACCTGAATTATGGCTTCTCACTGACCCGATGGGTTGTGTGCTAGTTGCACCCAGTCCCCATACTGGTTTGTTCTATCCAAGCAAGATAAGCTGTGCCGACTCCCTAACAGCCCTGCCTGGTGCCATCATGCCAGGTGTTCAGTATATTTCCCTAGATGACTTCAAAGCATAACCTGCTCCCTATTCCTTCCCGTGACTGTATTCAATATATGGTGGATGTGCTTGGGGGCCTTTGTCTTTGCTGCCATCAGCAGGGTCCCAAGACCCAGCTTCGTCATTCTGAGTCTCATTTCCTGTCTATTCTTTAATTTGCCTTATGCTGTGGTGGCTCAAAGGAGGCCAGAACCCATGTAGAGATTCTGGCAACATCCCCTTACCCATTCCCTATAAGTGGCATCAGCTTTTGACAGGTGGCAAAGAAAAGCAAGTTCATGGCCAGGCAGCCTGGATGGTTCTGGTCTCTGGGCCACTCACCTGTGCAACACAGCGCAGCCAGGACGAGCAGGAGCCTGAGCAGGGTGACACCTCCCTGACTTCTCATTGTGATATCCACAGAGTCTGGAAGGAAGGGACAAGACCTGCTGTCATGATCAAAAAATGACTGCTGGTTATCTCAGAAATCAAGACCTGGAGGCCCAAGGGGACCCTAAGAAACACAAGGAAGGAGCAAACAGCCCAATCAATAGCCAAGGCGCACTGTCAGTGCTGGATGACAGCGCTGGACCCTCCTCCTCCTGAGACCTTGGCTTCCTGAAGAAACACTGCCCGACCCTGTGAGAGGGGCAGCTGCTGGGGAGCCAAAGCTCCTCAGGTTCACAGGAATACCTGTTCCACCTACAGTAGCCTCAAACCAAGATCAGCTCAGTCCCCACAAGCCCAGTGTTCATGGCCCTGCAGTGGAAATAACACCATCTCCCCAAAGGTTGTTGAGTCCAATAAAATGTATGTGAGAAAACAACCTATGTGGTAACCTCAGCCCCCACCCTGCCGGCCCAGGCCATGCTTCTGGCTGAGCTGGAGGGTCACTTCTGCAGACGGGGTCACATCTGCAGGCCAGGTCACTGCGGGAATTGAACCAAATGCTGCCTCTGAGGGGATCAGCAAGCTTTCAGCACCAGAACAGGAAGCTGAGGCGTGACAGGTGGACAAGTTCTGGCTCCTCAACCCAGACGTGACAAGGACACATTCAGGGGAAGGAAGGAGAGGTACTGGCAATCTGAGGAGTGGTCCTCATTACACAAGGAACTAGATGTGTAACAATAGGCTGCAGGTAAGAAAAGGAGGCTGAAATGCCTTGAACCTTCCTTTCACTCAATAAACAGGTCGAGGCACAGGCAGGTTTTGGATCCCCCCCAGGTTCAAAGATTTGGTAGCAGTTCTAGGAAGTCCCTCAGCCAGGCACAGTGGTGCACACCTGTAATCCCACCACCTGAGAGGCTGGGGAACGAGGATTGGCACAAGTTTGAACACACCCTAGGCTACACAGTGAGTTAAAAACAAGCTTAAACTGCCAGCAAGACCTAGTCTGAAGAAAAAAAAATCTCCCAACCTTGAAAGTCAGGCTGCTCCACATGCTACTTCCAGAGCCACACAGGGTAAGACTCAGGGCTTGTGGACAGATGGTCCTCATCTGCCATCCACTGGGTCCGGAATGCAGAAGTCCCTAAGGCTATCAGGGCATTACCTCTCACACTTTTGCAGGTCATTTGCCCCACAGGAACTGACAATTCAGGCCATCCAGGCCTTTGGAATTTTCCAGAGGGAAAAACATGGAGTCCTGCTAGGGAAAGGTATCAAGGAGAAACAGGGCCTGGCTTTTCCTTACAAGTGACACTCACCACTTCACTCAGCACACTGCCAGCTTCCCACTGGGTTCCCCATGTTATGGGTTCCTGGGTAGAGAAGATGATTTATACACTTGGGTTAGACAGGACTGGGGCCCACAAAAAACTGCTGCAAGGAAGGAAGGAGAAGAGGGTATTGATCTGAGGTTACACAGGAACCAGCAAGGCATGGAGCATCAGATAGTTTGTTTGTTTTTTTTTTTTTGGAAGGGGCTATTTTGAGACAGGGTCTTGCTGTTAGTTCACACTGGCCTTAAACTCACTATGTAGCTCAGGCTGGCCTTAAACTCAAAAGGATCCTTCTGCTTCAGCCTCCTGAATGCTAGGACTACAATCCTGTACCACCATGCCCAGCCTACTGGACACTTTTCTAAGAGTTAAGAACAGCTAGGGCCGGGGATTTAGCTCAGTGGTTCCGTCGCTTGCCTTGCAAGCGCAAGGACCCAAGTTCAATCCCTGGTACCAGAAAAAAAAACAAAGAACAGCTGCTGTGACAGGCATCCCCATGGCAAGAAGAGGCTGTTAGTCACTAGAGCTGCCTCCATGACAGGCTGCAGGAGGGCCAAGAGAGTGCAGAAAGGAAGTGACCAGTGTGGTTGTTCAGATCAACAGACTGGGCCTTTGTGAACCACTAGTAACACATGAGCTTCCAACAGCAATGTGTTGGGGGAGGGGTACAGAAAAAGGGACGGCTGATTGTTCTAGAGCCATTTTACAATTGTCCTGAGATGTTGACAGTATTAATGCTAAACAGATTTATAACTTTTTTTATTCCTAAGTCTTCAACTGTTGCCACCCTTCCTCCAAATATTCTATAATGAATTTAAAAAATGATGTCTGCAGGGAGCATGGTGGTACATGCCAGTAATCCCAGCACTCTGGGAGGCTGAGGCAAGAGGATTACACATTGGAACACAGCCTGAGAAAATTAGTGACTTAGTGAGACCCTGTCTCAAAACAAGAATTAAAAATGGCATGGGGTTATAGCTCAGTGCAAAGACCCTGGGTTCAATCCCTAGGACCAAAAGAAAAAAAACTGTCCTTAAGTATAGTTAAGATGGTCATGGATAAAGTGGAAGTACTGCCAGTCTACCCAAAATCAAGCACAACTTATACACCGAAAAGACATCAACAACTATTTTTTTAAAACATATCACCACTCACTAGTCACAAGAGGATTATTCTTAAGGATTAGTCTAATAGTACTGCTATTGTCCCTAAGGGTTTTCACTTCTTCCAAAGAATGTGCTCCTGGTAATTCCCAGAGAAGATAAATAGTGATGAATCTCCTCTGAGGGTGGGTTTACTTATTGGAAAAAGCCCAAAGTCATTCTGAATAAGGTCCTCAGAGTAAGATGGATGAGCCCATTGGAAAATACCATTTGGGGGTTGTACAACACACTTTAAGTCAGCTTTAGATGGTAAGGACAGATTTTTCTCAGTGGTTGGCTAACTCTATAGTGAATTCCCTAAAGAGAATTCCAAATAAGCCTTTCATCACAGGAATAAGGAAATTCATAAGGTGATACAAGCATTGCTTAATGAGCAAAAGTTAGCCAGGCATAGCGGCACCAGAACTTGGAAGTCCAAAGCACCACAAGTTCAAGGCCAGCCTGCGCTACAGAGTTAGTTCAAGGCTAGCTGGAACTACACAATGAAACCCTGTCTCAAAAAAAAAAAAAATCCCAAAAGTTTAGTGACATAACATACATGTCCATCCAACAAGGTGATGAACAGTTTACAATAGAGTTCCACCCTGGAAACTACACAGCATAACAAGCATAGAAGGCTGCTCACAAGGTACTAAGAAAAAAAACCTGATTATAATAGCTACAGTTTTATTACCTTTTCTTTTAAATATATATATACATATTGTAGGGGCAAAATGAAGCTTAAGATGTCTACACTGTGGTCCAGGCTGCATATGGGTGATTTCCAGTAGACATGGAGCCTAGGTCAGCAATATTTCATCACAGGCCCCCCCACCCCGGATCTCAGTGTAAATACCTGATATAACCAAGGTTGGAGGTGGCCAGTATAAATAGTGTATAACCAAGGTCGTTATGGGCACATGACCACTACTGGGTATATTGGCATAAATGTAGACTGCTACTTCAAGGGATGGCAGGAGACAAAGCGGCTGAGGCCTTAAAGGCAAATGCATGTGGCTGAGCTGAGTGACTGAGAATAGAGCCATGTTCAGAGGTTTCCACGACTCCGTGTCTCTACTTCAGGCTGCCCAAATCTCAAGTGAACCTCCCCAGTCTGAACTGGTGACAAGACACATATATACATACTCACACCTGCATGGAAATTGTTTGGGATATCTTATCAATCTTTATGTACACTTTAGAACATGTATTTAACTTAGTGGTAGAATTATGAGAAGGTTGTTTATGCTTACATATTTGCTTAAATATTTTTATAGAAAAATCTCAACATGATAAAAGAATTATTTTAAGCTACTTATATGTCTTTTTTTGTTGTTGTTGTTGGTACCAGGGATCGAACTCAGGACCTTGAGCTTGCAAGGCAGGTGGCAGAACCACTGAGCTAAATCCCCAGCCCACTTATATATCATATCACTCACAAATTTAAAAAATTCTACCCGCCCAATGAGGTATATAAATATATATATATATATATATTCTCTCAAAGTTGGCTATTTGAGTTTAAACTGTTGGGTGTGTGTTTGTGTTTGTGTATTTATTTTTTTATGTTTTCCTACAGTTATATTAGTCACATTGTGTATTTCTAAAAACTGAGGCTGGGGAATTTTTTTAGTAGTGCTAAAGGTGACATGTATATTCCAATCCACTTTGCCTGAGATTCTCATAACCTTGAAACAGTCAACTCCAATTGACATAGCCCTGAAACATTTGTAAAGAAGTTAATATTTTACATGAGGACAAACTTAAAAATAAAACATCAGGGTTTTAAAGCTCAATACACACTAGAATGTCATCAATTTAAGAGACAAAGAAGTAGACAAAAACATGCACAGTCCTAGAATTTACTCTCTCCTGGACTCAGAGCTGAGCTGGAAATACTATTTTTAGCCAAGGTGCCACATGTATGAGTTGCTTCTGGCTTATCAGGATAGCATAATTAACAGCTCTGGAGGCCAAGAGAAAATGTTGAAGAAACAAGGGCTGTTCTATTTAATAAAGTGTCCCAGAGACATTTGCTATCTTCAAATAAATGAAGGGCAGCTGAGGAAGGGAGGCACAGGTTGTGTAATTTACAAAGGCAGAATTAGGATCAATAAGGGAGGCATTTGGGATTTCCTAAATGAGTGATGGCGAATCTTTTACAGCTTTCAATGATACAAACAGCCTGCTATGCCACAAGTGCCATGGGTTCGCCACTGCTGCCCTAAACCATGACTATTTTCCACCCCTTATCTGCCCTGCCACATTCTGGATGTGGTGCAAAAGGGAAAACAAGTCCCCAATATACGCAAAAAGTTCCCCATCAGTTGGCAATGTTAAAACAGATAGCAGAGGTCACAGATCAGAGGTACTACAGAAAACACCAAGAGGAAAGATCAAAAGACGGGTGAAGCACTAAAGATTCTCATTTCATAGTGAAACCAACCTGACAAATATTTATTAATGTCCAGCCACCTGGGATGCAAGCAGAAGCTAAAAGCCAGCAAGGTGATTTACCAACTTATGACATCTCTTATCAAATTGCTAAAAATATTAAGAAATAAGTGTTTTGTGCAATTAGGAATGAAAAGGGTGAAACTACAACAGACCCAGCAGAAATCCAGATGATCATCAATACCTACTTCCAGAACCTATACGCCAATAAGATGGACAACACAGAAGAA